GGCCACCCTTCCTTACGCTCCCTTCATGAGACCGCGAGGTGAGTTCGCAGACGGTGGCCTTCGAAGAGCTTCCACAACATGTTGTGCTTGAGGGAAAGGGCAGCTCTGAGAAAAGAAACTGCGAAGCTTAGCGAGGGCCATGGAATGGGTCCCGCAGAGCCCTCTCACTTGTTTTCCGTCACGGGACTTCGCCAGCTTAAAAGCGGCCCTTCGTGTCGAAGCGATGGCCTTTGAAGCACTTCGACTCTTGGGCTTTGCGTTATCTGCGGCCTATGCACTCTGGATCGCGGCCGCCAGCGCACTCGGAGCCTAAAGACCCAGGCGCGGCCAACTTGATGTCTACTGCTTAGATCGGCTTCCATCCCTCCAAGCGGGCCCGGCTCAGGGGCCTCAGAAACTCTGCCTCAGCACAGAGTACTCAGCCCGGCCACGAGCACTGCAAGTCGAAGCCTGGGCCCTGGCTTCAATCAAAGCAATTCCAGGAGGAGTCGATCGGCAAGGCCTCAGATCGTACACGCCACGAGGACTGAGTAGGATGGACTAGGACTCCTACTACTAGGACGAAGGGAGGAATCGTGGAATCCACACATTTTCTCAGGGCGGAGCCGTGGTCTGCGCTTCCCCTGCGGGGTCTGCTTTTCGAAGATACCGCCGTGCTTGTCGCCGGAACACAGCGTTCTCGAGCCTCTGCGTGGAAGAGACGAAGAGTGCTTTTGTTGCTAAGCCCAGAAAGGGCCTGTGGCCCCTCCAAAAGGCTCTGGCAGGTCCGTGGCTGCAGGCCGGCGCCGGGCATCCAAGGCCAGCAAAGCAGCAAGGACCTTGCGGTGACGTATTTTGGAATTGAGAGCAAAGCCCGGAAACACCTCGATCCGTACAACGGCTGGCAGAATGCTAGCGGAGCTGCAGGTACGCAGGGCAGACATGACAGGGGTATCAGTCATGGAGGCTGCCGGAGGTACATCTCGTTGGCGGAAATTTTCTGTGATGCTGAGGCTTTGATATGCCAAGAATCGGCAGGACACCCGCATCAATGCGATCTTAAGATCGAGGCTTTTGGACACCGTGAGGCTCAGGCCAGGCGAAGGGGCCCGATGCGTCCGCCAGTGTCGAAGGGCAGCCACCCGGAGGCATCTTCCTGAAAAGACTGCACAGCCAAGTTCCGAGAACCGACGGTATCGATATCTGCCAAGTCTGAGCTGGTCCTCTGCGCTCGGCGCCTTTTCGTTGGGAGCCGCTCGGCGTTTTTCTTCCACGAAGGACTTGATGAGGCCCTGTGTTTATACTCGCAACAACCAGCAAGCAGATCAGGTTCTTGGTTCGAAGTTCTGGCCGTTGGCATTCATCTTTTTGCCGTGCCTTCACGACATGTGGATCGTCGTGCGAGAAGGGCAGGGAAGAGAAGCACATCGCGTAGAGCACCATCCCAAGGGACCTTACTGAAAATAAACCACAAACACAATATTCCACCAAATCCAAAAGTTCCAAAAAAATTGAACAATAGATAATCCAAAAGTTCCAAAAAAATTGAACAATCTATTTCCAACAGTTACAACACCTGCGACACCAAGTTGTAAACTTTCTGAATTCCAACATGTCCAAACCTTGTCCTCAGATGTTGTGAAACCTTTGGAACATTGATAATGTTTGGAACTTTGGATGTGTTTGCATTCCCGAAATATTTTTTCCAAACTGTCTTCCCTCTCTACGGGATCGCTGTCAGACGCCTGGCTCACTTCTTGTGCTGAGTTTTGGTTTATGATATTATGCTGCTTGTGAATTTCATGCTGGTTGAATCCCGGTATCGTGCTGTAGACGTGTTCGACCTGCTTTAACCCAAACATACGTACGTCGAAATTTAATCTTGACTAACATGCGCTTAGCTGCCAATACCATGGATATCATAATTAGAAGGTTGTGCGAGACTGCTGATTCCATTCCAGGTCCAAAGGGTCGGGCACGGAAGAATACAAGTAAGTCCGATAACACGAGAATCGGTCCCTCGTCGTTGCTACAGTGCTACATGCTCTAAACGGTGTTCGGTACTTCCTTCATGCGCAATATTGAGTTGCACGAATATATGTATTTAATGGTTTAACAAGAAGGAAACGAGGTGTTCGCCTGTATAGCACTTCATGCTCACAGGTTAGTTTTCCAAAATTTCGTTCTTCGTAGACACCTGCACACAACTAAGGTTCCGAAACCACTAAAAATGTAGTAGGCATTCAGTTCGTTTTATGTCAGTTGAACCTTAATCATCACATGGTGTAAGCTTCACAGCCCACTCAGAGCCAAAGAACATCGCAATATTCCCATGATGTGTGACATGGGTTGAACAACTATAACCTGTACTTATTCGATTACTCTTTTGGGTTTTTGGTGTGTGACTGATGTGTGTTTCCCGAAAACCACTCAAAGGTTAGATTCTCGTTCGGTGCTAAGTGCTATGTTCTTGATGTCCAACCCTGTCTGGACGGAATGGTCGTGTGTCATGGTCGCAGGCGAGAGGATGGCAGGAAGGCATTGCGTCGGGCGACGGGGTCGATGAGACGGCGGAATGGAGGCGTGGACAAGGGTGCGCAGGCAGGCCAAGGCGCTCGGAGCAGGCGTGGACAAGGGCGCACAGGAGTGGACAAGGGGCGGAGCGCGTTTTGGGGCACGCAAGTCGAGCGTGATGTCTGCACAGGGGGGGCATGTGGACCAGGGGCGGGGCGCGTTCTGGGGCACGCAAGCGGAGCGTGATGTCTGCGCAGGGGGGCATGTGGACAAGCGGCCGGGCGCGATATCGGGCGTGCACGACACGAAGGGAGGTGCTGGCAGCGTCGGCTCAATCGAAGAACTCGTGAGAGGCCGAGGATAGTGCCGGATATCGGCGCGGATCGGACGGCACTAGCAAAGGCACTACTTTTCTCTTAAGCAGAACCCCTTGCCTTGCGTCTCGGGAATTGTATATCAGTTGAAGTCACTGCATCGTCGACTCGCTGACTTCACATCGGAGTCCTGTACGATGCGCCATATGTAACACCGTACAGACCGTCCTGTACTCATCGGTGACTCCTTGAGGGCCCTGAATCGTCAAGACAGCCGAAGGATCTCGCAGATCAGCACCATCATGGACCATTTCTGACGGCTGGTATCTCACGGAGAACAAGGCATCCTCCCCGTTCACTGCTGCCTGGTTTTCGCTGATCCTGGGCTACGGCATGACCTGTCCATTTTAGCAGAGCTCCAGACAATTATCCACAATCAATCCCCCGAGTGAGCTGTTCGAGCTGGTTCAAAGCCTCTTGCCATGCTTCAGGTCCGCGGGCGCGCTCCACGAGGGTTGCTGCTCAACAGCGACCATGTTGGCAGAATTCACCAGCTTGGCACCAGCACACAGGGCCTCCAGTGCCAGTGCTTCAGCAACTGCCACCAGAGCTGCCCAGCTGTCCGTAGTGGCCATACCTTGTAGCACGCTTTCCAGGATCCCTCGTAATTGCGCGATGACCGGTGGGATCTGGACGCTCGTTCTGGGGCAGCGTCTGCATCCAATCCATCCCGCCACTAACACGAGGCTCTAGGATACCGTAGCTCATGCACCTCCCATCACTGGCCAGTTGTTGACGTGCGATGTTTGCTAGCTCCGCGGCTGCTGTTTGTGCTCGCTCACGATACGCGTCTAATTATAGTTGCTGGCTGTCCCCCGCTGCTGGTACTCGGTGCTGATGGTGTCTGCGGGCGCACACCGCCGCCTGGGATGTTGCCTCCCCCTGTGTGTTGTTGCCCGTCCAGCGAGTCAAGTGCATCGGCAGTGAGCGTGTCAACAAGCAGGTGAAGAAGGGCTTGCTCAGCGTTGTGCACGATGCCCGCGGTGTCCATCTGTTGGTGACTGTAGGTGGCAGTGATCCGCCTGATTTCCATCAGGTGTCTTTCGACTTTTTCCCACGATCTGTCTCGCTCCGGCCATGTTGGCTGCTTCGGCCGGCGGCGGTAGTGCGCTTTGCACAGGGCGAGGCATTTGTCGACTCATACGGCAGTGTTGTTAGCATGCTTTGGTCCCCCGGCGTGGTGGGTGGTAGCTGCTTGAGTGGGAGTCGCCAGCTGCGTTGCTGCGGTTGCTGTGAGTTGCGGGGGGGGCACCGGGTAGTTGCTGTGTGGTGTTTTGTAGCTGGCTGCTGGACTGGCGGCTGTCGTGTGGATGTTGCGGTGTGACGGGGGCTGAGAACTCTGAGAACAGGCTGTGTTGCATGAGGCTGTGGCTGTCTTTTGGAGGCTTTGTGGTCGTTCTGGTTGTTTTGGTCCGACGGTGCAGCCATCGCGCAATTGCGCGGCGAGGGGAGGCTGGAGGAACTGGCCGGTGTGGCGCTAGTCTGCGCTGCTTGCCTTGGCGGAGTTGCGCGGGGCGTGTTGCTGCAGTGGAGTTTGGGTGTTTAGTGGCGGTTGTTGTTGCTTTGCTGGGGAGTCCGCCGGCCCAGGGAAATTCGCAACCACTGACACACGGATGCTGGCACGTGCAAGTCATCACCAGCCCAGGGATACAAGTGCACACTGGCTACTGCTCATCGAGCATCCGCCCCCGCCGCGCGAGTGCGAACCTGGCAATGGAGGGGGAGTGGATTATTCGAGTGGAACACCTCAACCCGGATAGCCCACCCGAGGTGCGACGGATCAGAGAGTGAAAGTTTAAACCCTTAAACCAGTATCCTTCTTTACAGCACGGCGCGAGCTTCGGATTCTTTTCTCACTACTCGCTCTGCTGTCAGGCTGTCTTTAGCCTACGTTTGACCTACGGAGATACGCAGTGAAACTGGCGCTAAATCGGGCATGAGGGAAAATTGAACATTCTGTTACGCCCTCATCACGTACACAGCATTGTCGTGTCACGTGATTCTGTGAAACTTTTCCTAACCTTTGTACTACTTCTGCTTCTGTTTTCGCATGCTCCTGTGAGCCTTATCTTCTCTTCTCGCAGGCTTCTTTGAGCACTTTTGAACATCTTTCTTTTCCTTCTCTTGATCTTCATCCTGAATCTTCAGATGTCCTATAGCAGATTTGTGAATTTGCTTTCCACACACATTTGGCATGGACTCACTCCACTCTACGTGCACATTCACTTTTTCTGTACGTCGCTGTACGCGGGGTAGTCGTAGTCCATCCTTGCCCTTCGGCAATCTGGAAACTCTTTCGGACTTCTGTCTTTAGTCCTTTTGTAAACATTGACTCTTGAATTCATCGTGGTGCTCGTAGTGCTTTGACGTTGCCGTGGGACTTTCGTCCACGTGGCTTTTGACTTTGTCGTTCCCGTGGGATCTTTCCATCCTCGTGGCTTTTCTCTCAAGCTTCTAAAGCTTTCTTGGTGAAACGTTTTGCCTGGGCTGATTTCCAGCCCTCACTCTTTTCTTGCTGGGCGTCGACAACGCCCTCACGGTCTTTTGCCTTGCTTTAAACCGATCTTACATTTCGCCTAGCCCCAAGGGCCCTTGGGTTGCTGCTTCTGTGCTGTCCGGTGTTCCCGGATCAACAGGTCCTGTCATAGTAGAGCTTATTGCTTGAATCCGTCGCCTTAATCTTGCTCTATCCTCATTTACTTCTTCACTGCGTGCCCTGTACCTTATTCCATCACTTGTGCCTTCTCGTCTGTCTTGACGGAGTCTTGACCGTTCTTCAATCAGTGTGTCAAGGCCTTGGTCTTCCTCTTGTTGCAACTCTTCAAGTAGTGCGGGGTCAAGTTCTTCAGCTGCTTGCCTAGTTCCTGCGAGGTATGCCTCGTAGGTTAGGCGTGCTACTCCTTCTAGCTCTTGTTGGCCCCTGGCC